TGTGTAATTATTATAAATAATGAAGTTTATTTCTATCCTTTTAATCATATTTATTTCTTTTAAAAATAAGTTATATTCAATTTAGTAAAATCTTTGGCTCGTGCTAGGCCCTTCACAATCCCAAGAGTATTAGAAGACCCTGAAGAGAAAAAGAAACAGGTAAAGAGATTCGAAGGTTTTCAAACCCTCTCAGATGAAGAAGAAGAAAAGGTTGGTAGCAATAAATCTGTAAAAATATTATATCTCGAAGCTGTACATTGAATCTAAGATTCCTGTTTCTTTAAGACAGCCTCTGTTGTTTTTATGAGTAATTTTACATACATTTTTTTGGGCTATTATGGAAGCTTATGTGTTGAATTTTATTGTTAATAAAAGTAAGTGAAAAAATAACTATGATATGTATAAAAAAATTATTATTTTAATTGCAGCTACATGCTCATATGTTATAGAAAAATCACGTATACTGAACTTTCATTTCTTTATAGTTGAAATAGTGAGAGCAAGTTTTAAATTACTGCATTCAGTAACTAGTAGTTTAGCTTGAAACAGTGTTTACGAGCAAGTTTGTTTTGACTCACATCTTTCTCTTTTTCCACATCTCATTAAACACTTATGTACAAAACTTACATGTAAAACTCACTTGTAAAAGAAAGAAGTTTGGGTGCAAATGTCTGTTCATCGCCAGTCATTTTCTTTCAGGTTTTACAGTTTTGTTGTCTGGTTATGATGCAGTGGAAGTTCTACTTTAATAATAACCAGAGTTTTCTTTGGTGAACTTTATACGTTTGTAGAACAACTGCCTAAACTAAACTAAGGATACTTTGGTTCAGTTTGATCGTTTTCGTAACTATGTTTGAACATTAGAAATCTGTGTTCAAAAAAGTTTGTCATGCTCCTAGTGAGACAGTAAAGTTCCTATTAAAGAAATGGTTCCTAAATTTCTATTTTTTTTTTACAGTTTAACTTTTAAAATAATGGTGTAGCTAGCAAGTTTTCTGTCAGCCGTACATGATCCATAATCAAAGTGAGAATTCCAGAAAATAACTCATTTATTTGAGATTGTAATGTATAATATGCCATCATTTGCATCTAGTTCACTCAGTTAATGTTGAAATAAATAAAGTTATTCATCTGTTTTTTATGTGGGTATTTTATTTAAATAATAAACAATTTTTTTCAAAATTTTTTATATAGTCCTTTTGACCCTCACAAAGCTGTTAATTTGGTTCTTTTTAGTTCCTTATATTCTTAACTTTTCTTACTATTTATTATGAACATTGGTCACGATATTCTTTTCTGGAAGGGATATTATTTCAGAGTTTTATAGTGAAAATTCTAAAATCTGCTTTAAAATAACTTCCAAAATAACCTGGATTTTTTCATTATTCATTGCTAAGAAAAGTAATCCAGAAAGTAAGCATGTCTAGTGCAGTAGAGAACACTGGAGTTAGCTCTTGCAAAGTGAATTCTTCTTTTATCTCTCAAAATTTTGACTTATTCAAATCTTAGTGCGAGCAGCGTGAAGTACGATGTATTCATTCTGCATGTACTTAGCTGAGGCAGCTATCTGTTTCTGTTCTTATCTGTGTCTGTTCTTATCTGTATCTGTTCATATCTGTATCTGTTCTTATCTGTTTCTGTTCTTATCTGTATCTGTTCTTATCTGTATCTGTTCTTCTCTGTGTCTGTTCTTCTCTGTGTCTGTTCTTATCTGTATCTGTTCTTATCTGTGTCTGTTCTTATCTGTATCTGTTCATATCTGTTTCTGTTCTTATCTGTGTCTGTTCTTATCTGTATCTGTTCTTATCTGTATCTGTTCTTATCTGTGTCTGTTCTTATCTGTGTCTGTTCTTATCTGTTTCTGTTCTTATCTATTTCTGTTCTTATCTGTTTCTGTTCTTATCTGTATCTGTTCTTATCTGTTTCTGTTCTTATCTGTTTCTTTCCTTGAAAGCCACATTAGTGGTGAATAAGAAAGTCAACAATTAATAACAATAGAAATTTACCCTCCTTCACCTCGTCCACCTCACTCTTGTTCCTGGCACTCATTTGATGTAACTCAACTAAGAATAAATGTGGTCCGGTGTCACAACTGCTTCTAGTCCTTTCTTACAAGTTATCATCCATGTTATCTAATAATGTGTGTAATATTGTGATATGTGTATTACTTGTTTATGTGAGTTAAATAATAATAATAATAAAAGTTGATGTAACTCAGGGGTTACAACCAGTATTTTTGTCCACCTTTAAAAATTTGGGACTCATAAATGATACACTGCTGTATGCAAGGTATATTGATGATTTTCTAATAAAATGTTAGTAGTTTCCTGATCTTTTGTTTTGGCTAAATATTTGTGTTAGGCTAGTTTCGGGTAATACCACTACACGATGTTAACTTCTGGCTAGGTTGAAGTGAATATAAACACAGTTTAATGGGTTTGATTTCATTCATGTTAAGTTGACAAACAGTGTCCAAGTATTCAAAAATGCAGTTTATAGCACCCGAATAGCATTAAAACATTTCTGTCATGTTTATTAAACGGTATTCCTGTATTTAATTAATTCTGTCATGTTTATTCATGTTAAGTTGACAAACAGTGTCCAAGTATTCAAAAGGAATTGCTTTCTAATGTAGTTTATAGCACCTGAATAACATTAAAACATTTCTGTCATGTTTAGTAAACAGTATTCTTGTATTTAATTAATTCTGTCATGTTTATTCATGTTAAGTTGACAAACAGTGTCCAAGTATTCAAAGGAATTGCTTTCTAGTGTAGTTTATAGCACCTGAATAGCATTAAAACATTTCTGTCACGTTCTTGCTTTGATAGACGATGTGTGTATGATTTCTTATTATACTTAGGCACACCAATGTTTGATCATATTGAAGAAACTGCTTGGTATAATAAAATAATAGTAACATTAACCTTCCTGGATTGCACCAAAGTCATGAAGCTAATATAATGCAGAGAAGTAATGTACATATTAAATGTTAGTGCATTTAACCTAGGTTTTGTTACAACAGGTTCTTCTTTTGGAAAGTAGATTTATAAAGGGATGAAACAAGGGGGCATCTTCTAATAAAATAAAATGTGAAGCAAAAAATCATCAGTGATCAAGTCTAGTAACTAATCATGATTAATAGCATAGTTTATTTTCTTCAGGGCTATTTAAGTTACGCTGATTCAGAGAATTAGAAAATTCACCTTCGACTTTTTTATTAAGTACAACGACTCAAAGATAATTCCAACTTTCAGGAAAATGAAGAACTCGTAAAACAGAAAGACGAATTTGTTTCTGATCCGGCGGAGCAAAGAGCTAAAGCACAACAGCGTTGGCAGGAGAGGCATCAGCATAGGCCCCCACAAAATAGAAGTTATAGGGGTGAGTACGTTTAAAATTATTTTGGTGAGGGAAATTTAAGTATTAAATGTGGTAGAAAATCCCTTGAATTCGTATCTCACGGATCATAATTGTGTGCCGCCATATTGGTTTCCTTTTTTCAAATAAATACCATGGTTTCATTCTTAACGGATAATATTTGTACACCTTCATATTTGTAGCCTATCCCAAGAAGATTCTCTATGATTTTATTTCCCCCAGACTTCGTATATATATCCATTTGAGTTCAGTGTTTCAATAAAACTTTTTGTGTCATTATTATTATTCTGGATTTATTGGTGGAAGACAATTCCATGACTTATCTCCCTAAATATGTTTTTATTTCTCTATGTGGGTTGAATGTTTGAAGTTTCTATGGCTTTGATAAAGGATTACATTTTTTTTTTTCCAAAATTGTGGCTTAAATTTATAAAAATTTGATGTAATGACTTTTTTTTTTCATTTTGGATTTATTAACTTACAAAGCTTTTTTTAATGAAAATTTCACATTGCAGTTGTATTTCTTAATGTCAGAATTTGCTTCACATGTTTGTAGTTTCACTCGTATCTGAAAGTATCACAATATTGTTTTACTCTAGTTTCACTCATCTCATATCTGAAAGTATCACAATGTTGTTTTACTCTAGTTTCACTCATATCTGAAAGTATCACAATGTTGTTTTACTCTAGTTTCACTCACCTCATATCTGAAAGTATCACAATGTTGTTTTACTCTAGTTTCACTCATCTCATATCTGAAAGTATCACAATGTTGTTTTACTCTAGTTTCACTCATCTCATATCTGAAAGTATCACAATGTTGTTTTACTCTAGTTTCACTCATCTCATATCTGAAAGTATCACAATGTTGTTTTACTCTAGTTTCACTCATCTCATATCTG